AATTAGTCGGCACAGAGTTTGAGAGAGAGACTAATTAACAGAGAAGAGAGAAAAAGAAGTAACCACCCTTTTTTTCAGTGGCTTCCATGATGCTTTTCACTGTTTAAAACCTGTTTTCAGGTACATTTGAATGAGCTAACGCAACAAGATGTTCTGTATTGCACAGATACGTAACAGTCGCAACAATACTTTTAAGATATTTTACACAAAACTGAAATAAGGTACAGGTGGATGTCTTTATATTTGATGACATTTTGCTAAGCTATAAAGGGGAAGAATACAAATTCAGCAAATGCAAAGAAGCAGCTGTAATTTTTATTTATTTTTCTCATGTACTATATTCCATGTACTCATAATTTATCATGTTTTACTTAGTGTTTGCACATCAACTCTTGGTGTTAACCCTGATCACAATCAATTTGGCATTTATGTTTTAATCACCTTTTTAGATAAATGGCTAACATCAGTGTCAGTAACTGCTGAACATTAATTAGGTGTGTTCAGTTGGTAACAAACTTGCAGCTCTGCAGTATAGTACATCAGTACAAGAGACACAAGCACATTAATGCACATACACACACTTTTTCCCCTCTTACACACACTTTTTTTTTTTGCCTGTAATTATGACTTAGGTCAGGCATGAGAAGTGCTGACTCAGGGTTTATTGTTTTCTCTTCTCAGGCTTCTCCCTCCTTTCTTCTCCTTTTAGCCTGCAGAGTCGACATCTCTGCCTCAGTGAGGGATTAGCTTCTCTTTCTGGTCCAGCCGGCTATATTTTTAGTAACGTAATTGTTTCTCTCGCTTTCTCTGACCCCCTCGATCCTTCACATCCGTATTCTCCTCGCAAAATTACTTGCGTGCGCTCCCCCCAGCACACACACACTCTCCCTCTGTTCCTTATTTCTCACCGTTGGTCACTCCGTCTCTCACCCTCCTTCTCCTCCCCCTGTGTCTCTCTGCAGGAACATTTAAGCTGCTGATAGAGTTTTCAGAGGAGTACCCAAACAAGCCTCCCACAGTTCGGTTTGTCTCCAGAATGTTTCACCCAAATGGTAAGTGGTACAGCTGCCCAAACACACTCGCACATATTCACACATTCAAACCAGGCATTTGAATATAGAAATAATTGCCTGCCTTCACTTTATTCCTAACCAGCGTCTACAGTTTACATTTGTATGAAGTACATTAATGTACCTCCATTGTGTCAAGGCTTCAAGTTCTTCCTCATCCACACAGTTTCCTCCCTTACATTTCCTTTCCCAGTTCATAATTAATATGAATTTAAGAGGTGAAATCAGTGAGGTAGTATATTTTTTGTATGTGACGTACAGCCACTATCATGTGTTTACATTTGGTTTTGATCGGCTTGAGCTGCAGGTTTTATCACTTCATTTTGTGTCTTGTATTTACTGATTTCACCGGATCATAAACTCCTTTTATTTAGTGGGGACTTGCAGTGTTTTTTGTCTGCAATGCTGCAGTCAGCTGCAATGTGAAAACAGGACATTCTGAGACTACTGCTCAAATAAGAAACTATAATTGTCTCCTGAACTCATCTTCACCATCTGTTTTGTTTTAAAAGCATCTGTTCCAGATATGTTGCACTTTCAGTCTTTTTCTACATGTGGAGAAATCTATGTTGGCGACACTAGATGTGTTTCCATCTTAAATTATAATCAAAAAACTTTTCATGCTTGGATAGTGGAAAGGTTGGTAAAAAGGTAAAGGCATCTAAGTGCAATGGAAATGGATTAAGTGAGTAAATGATGTTGCACAGGACACTGCAGGCTCACTCTTAAACATCTCTGGATGGCTTTTAACACGCTTATGCACACAGGGCTGTTACCTCAACTCTTCCGAGAACACATAGCTGTAATACTAGTTCACAACTTTCTATTTCCAGTGTGCTCTCCGTCGTTATACATCCATTGTTTTACTTCTGACCAGTGTTCTTTTAATTATGTCAATCTTGTTGTGCCCTCTTCTGTAGTGGCAACTGGCTGGAGAATCACCGCCACCTACTGCATCGTATCTCAATGAACCAACTCTCATTATTCACATAACAACAGTAGTTTTATTTTTGGAAATGTTCTGAAAATTTGGTTAAAATGTGCACTATATTTGGATGGAAATCCAGCTATAGAGAAGTAGTAACTGGTACTGTGTTGTTGATCTCTGTGGTCTGAGGCTTGACTGTGTTTTCTCTCTGTTTTACCAGTTTACGCAGATGGCAGTATATGTTTAGACATCCTTCAGAACCGCTGGAGCCCCACATACGATGTGTCGTCCATACTCACTTCCATCCAGGTTGGTTGGTTTGTTCAGTTCAATACAATACAATTTTCTGTCCCCAAGGGAGGGGAGAACGTCAGAGACAAGATCGGAATACATTTGAAATATATATCTGAATAGCATATGCATAAAGTCCCCATTCAGGGGATCTATCCTGGTTATTTAATGTTGATTAGACAGAGGACATGTGGACATTTTCATCACTTTCCTCACTTCCTCTCGCAGTCGTTGCTGGATGAGCCAAACCCCAACAGCCCAGCTAACAGTCAGGCGGCACAGCTCTATCAGGAAAACAAGAGGGAGTACGAGAAGAGGGTGACGGCCATCGTGGAGCAGAGCTGGGTGGACGTCTGAGCTTCTCTCACTCTCTACTCCTTCCTCTCCACCACCCCTCTCTCTTCATCATCAAGTACTTCAGTCTTTCATTTTTACCTCATTGAGAAGAAAAAAACAAAAAACAAAACAAAACAGCAACTATATCAGAAGAACTCAAGTGCCACCCTGAAAATAAGGAAGAATGAAAAAAAAAAAAAAGATCCAGAGAACAACCAAACCAGAATGGACATTATCTTGCTTGCCAACACATTTGAGGAAATCGAGGGAGGAGAAATCAATCTTCTATTTGTGTTTCTTGTCCTTAATTTTACTTTTTTTTATTGCATGATGTGAAATAAGTTATTGCTAACAGAATTTGTAATATATCTGTCGTTTGGTTGGATTGATGCTGTTAGTGTTTGAGTTTTACAGACTTTTTTTCCCCCAAACTTTCCTCTTTTTTTGTATTGTCTGCTGGTGTGCACTCAACTTAGCTGTTTGGAAAGGCAGCTTGATGACCAAATCAGCACATTTGGAAAAAAATGCCTTTCAGAGTCCATATCATTGTTACTCTGCAAGTCAGCCAACAGATGCAGTTTGTAAAAGAACAATCCCTGACCTGCTCCAGCATATCTCTGTTATTTTAAGAGACGCTGTAGGTTTGGGCTCACAGACGTCACAGGCTGCAACAGCGCCAAGTCTCCCTTGCACTGATGAATCATGGCTAGGCAGCTCTGAGCTTTTATTCCAGTCGTCTCTGCTCCATTGTAGATTATGTTCAAGAGGGAGTGTTATGAGACAGTAAATATTAACACCAGGATGGGACAGGATAAACTTGTACTGATGAAAAGGATGTGGGAATCTCAGCTGAGCCAAGGAAATGCTGTATTCATTGCAATCATTTGAGTCAAGTCTTCCCGCTGTTGTTCTGTGTCCCAGTGTCTCTGTTAAGTGTTATAAAATGTGTGTGGGAGCCTCTGAGCTCAGGAGCTCAACAGTGCTTGAAGATTTTCTTGAATGATGGTGCTATATCATTTTAATATGGTGCATTCATAATGGTTACCGGGGCTTGAACGACAGTGGTAGCAAGTAGAATTAGAATGAATTTGGTAGATAGAATGTGGTCTAGTCTGCTCATTTTCTAAAATACACCTTTGTATCAGTTGTTATAGCTCATAATTGAACAAAAAATTGAAGATAAATGCAGAACTAGATACAAAGTGTTCTCCGCTCACTCTCCTGACAGCTCATCTTAGGCTAGCGCCCACATGGTTTTCCAGTTTCGCCCGCCACAGAAAGTAAACGACTTCCGAATGCTTTGTTGCCTGTGACGCGCGTCAGTGTGAATGAAGAGCCTGTGTTTTTGATCTCTTAAAATAACACAGCTGACATATGAATTAACAAATGAGCAGAGGATAAAAGCAGTGCAGTCCGGGATAGTCCTTTTTTTTTTTTTTCGCTCTAAATGAAAACAGTTAAGAGGATTGAGAGAGCAAACTGCTGCGGGGAAGTTTGAATCCTGTTTCAGCAGTGTGACATCAACTGTTTTCCCAAAAGGCTTAAGTTGTTTTCACGCCTGCGTTTGTCTCCTTTTTTTAAAAAATTGTATGTGATACGCAATTAAAAGACCACTTGAGTACAAAGTCATGAGTTAACCCTGCCCAACTCCAGCTAAATAATCCACGAAAGACAGTCAAAAAAAAGAGCTCCTCTTTTCTGAGACAGTTAAGGTCATATTGTGGCTAGTGACTTATTATAACTAAAAGCAGAAGGGATATGTTATAAAGATTTTGTGAATTAAACAAAAAATGTATACTTATAACAATATGCTGTATAAACATAATAAAACACATTTTTCAGAGTTTGAGACAGGTTTTTTTGCTCTTTGTCTGTTTGAAAATGACTTAGCACAGTCAGTTATTATTAATTAAGTTTTTCCATAGTATTGTACTAACACACACTACCTGCTGTGATGGGGGAAACTATTACAGGAAAAAGTTCTGCTTCTTGCTGATGTCACTAAAACCAACCCTTAATCACTTACCAGATACCATTTCCTCTCTGGTCACGATTAAGGTTTGTGGTCTAAAATGGTTATTTTGTGCCTTATTGGGAGGAGAGAAAATCTTCCTGCAGATTAATTCTACCAGTGTGAAGATAAGGCCTTGACTAAGAAGCAAAACAACCCTAAACTGAGAAAATGACGGAATTGTCTGGTATACTTTGTTCCAATTTGATCATTAAGCAGCAAAAACAACTGGAAATTGTGTTGTGTTAAAGCTTTCTGGTGGTAAAAGAAAAGTAATGTTCTATCTTGTGTGTTTACTCACAGAAAATCTCAAAACAAAGAACCACTATGATCGCTCTTAAAAAAAAGAAACAACTACACCATATAAGAGGGGAAAGTAATTTATTGCTCTTCAGATGGGGACATCATAACAAGATCCAGTGTCTGTCATCTGACTTAATTAAAAAAAACTACCAAAAATGATGATTACAAAAATGTAAAACAATGTAAAAACGGACGAGCAGTGAAGCTCCACACTGCTAAAACTATCACTGCTGTCTGCACAGTTAAATACTGAGTATCACAGTCTCTCTGCTTCTGATAAAAAAAAAAAATAAAAATGTTCACACTGATCACATCCGTAACAAACACCGTCAGATTGTAAAACCACGTGAAATGTGGTGTGACTAGTTACAAGCACAGCCTGTATATGTACATAACAGCTGAGTCCCAGCATTCTTCAGGCTCGACCTGACATCACCAGACTGGATGAACTGGTCATCGACCCTGTGATGGAAGAGAGGAATGCATGAAGCATTTTTTCTGTGTCAACATACCTAAGTGTGTGTGTGTGTATGTGTGTGTGCAGCTGTACCTGTTGCTTTTTCATAATCTCATCTCTTGTTTTGAAGACTGGCGCGTCCTCCACCTCGATGCCTTCAGCCATTTCCTTCACTTTGTCAAGGAGCTCTGTGCTATACCTGTGAGGAGAGGAGATATGTTCTGTTAATATAATGACCCACAATTAATCAGCATAAGTAATTCATCTGTAGCTCATATTGTTTCTGAAGTGGTGTGTTGTCTTAAAAACAAATGAGAATCTAAATATCGATGAAACTGCAGAACTGAAACAATTATCAATTAACAGATTGAAAGAAAATTGATCTTAAACATTTTTGATAGCTGACTTGTGTTAATTGTCAGCTCCTCCCATGGCATGTGCCTGTAATTGAAGACACTCCCTCTCATCATAGAGCTCACCTGTGTGTCCTATAAAATGTTTGGTAGCTCAGTGTCTTGTAAAACCCGGATGAAGACGGTCTAGTCGAAACGTTGGTACTTGAATAAAAGAAAATATTTTTGCATCGAGTCTAGAGTGTGCGCCTGACATCTTTTTTCAAATTTGTATTTTTTCGTCAACGGTCAGCACCTCTCCAACCTTGGTGTGCGCTCCTCCTCTCTCTTCACCTGATAGCTGACTTCAAACAACATTTCCCATTTCCAGCTGCTGAATTTTAAGCATGTGCTGATTTTCTTTCATACATGACACTCAATTTAAGATTTCTGGATTTTGAAGGAACTAAATTTACACTTAAAGAAATTGCGATGGACATTTCTCACTTCTTTCTGGCATTTAATTGGCCTAAGTATTAACCAAAATATAATTAATAGGTTAACTGATAATAAAACCATTCTTAGTGCCAGCCCTGAATTACTGTAATTGTCTTAAAAGTGAAATAATAAGTGGATGCATCTTAGAAATGCTAAAGTCCACATTATTATCTCTATTTAAATTCATACAATGAAAAATGTGTAATTTAATATTATAAGGATACTAATAAAGCTACGTACAAAACCTTAAATCTTTTTTGACTAAATGATTCACTGAATATCATTTATTTAAAACAATCACACGGGATGAGCTTTTTGTATTTTTAGCAGCATGTATGTTGACAGACAAGTAACAAGACATGTCAGTAAAGAAATGTAAAAACATATTTCAGGAAATTTAGACACAGTGCCTTTATTACTATATTTTAATCCACCCGAGAGCACTGACAAGTTTTATTTTTGTACAGATGCACTTCCCACTTTATCTTGGTCATAATTGCTTATTATGCATTTAGTAAACTAATGACAATCAGCTTATGTGTCATTATAACTCACTCACAGAGCTTACATTGACTGGGCTAAAATACAATAATTAAAAAAAAAATAAAATAAAGAAAATGTAGCTGCAGTTTAAATTGTTTTGTCGTTTTCTGGACACAGGGGGCAGCAGTGAGCCCTGCATGAGTTCAGAATGAGACAAAGAAGAACCCAAACACATTTAACAAACAAAGGTGAGTTTGTGAAGTTATGTCGAAACAGATGTTTAACTTTAGGAAGAAAAATGCTCATTCGTGAGGAAGGAATAAGGTATTAATTTGGCAAATATATCTAACGTTAACTTAAACGGCTCCACTGAAATCAAACCAGCTGCTTGCCGCTAGCTTAATCTCCGCATTGGTGGTTTATCCGGACTGTGGAGCGATTTACATCTTCACCAGCTCAGGTAAATACCATCACACAGGCCTGTAACATCAGGGTCCATTTGTACCAGACTGTGAGGGCCATGAGAGCAGGTTGTATTAACGCACCGACAGCCGAGGAAGACGTTGTTAGCCCACACCATGGACAGAGAGAGCAGCTGGTCCAGCTGCGGATCCTCGAAGTCGTTCATGTTCCGCAGGATAAACTCCCTCCTGGCCTCCCAGTGTTTCTCACTCTCCCAGTAACCTCGATACGTTTCCACTTTGTCCGCCACAGCTCTGTTTTGTTGAATAAAATCCTCTACGTCCAAGTTAGCCATCTTGCTCTTCTGCAGACGGGTCAACAAGAGCAACTTCCTGTCTGAGAAGCGTGTCCCGGAAGTTATTTTTCATCTTAACGTGTTTCGCACAGCGCCACTCAGCGGTGGAGCTGAGAACTACAACTGACCTGAAATACCATAGACTCGCTGTCAGCATGGAATTTACTTTGCACAGGGACTTGTTGCTGGGTGCCGTCAGCAGTCAGTTAGATTGAACTGACGAAATGTGAGGCATGTTAATTTATCAAATGAATACACTGACACTTGGGTCTTCAACAGAGGGACCCCTATGGGGATTTAATTTTTAATTTAAGTTTTTTTTCTTTTCTTTTACTGATAGAAAGATGAATTCCATCCGGTTTGCAGCCGAGTGTGAGGCAGTTGGAATGAGAGTCATCATCTCCAAATCTGAGGCCATGGTTCTCTGCCAGGAAAATGGAAGGTTGCCCCCTCTGGTTTGGGAGGGAGTTACTGCCCCAAGCAAAGGAGTTCAAGTATCTTGGAGTCTCGTTCATGAGTGAGGGTAAAATGGAGGGTGAGATAGATAGGCGGTTTGGCATAGTATCTGCAGTAATGCCTGAGCTGTGCCGGACCAAAGGGCAAAGCCTTCAATATACCGGTCCATCTATATCCCAACCCTCGGCTATGGTCATGAGCTTTGGGTAGTGACCGCAAGAGTGAGATTCCTGTGAAGGGTGGCTGGGTTCGGCCTTAGCGATAGGGTGAGGAGCTCAGACTACCGGAGGGAGCTCACAGTAGAGCCGCTGCTCCTTCATGTTGAAAGGGGCCAGTTGAGGTGGCAGCTGATCAGGATGCCTCCTGGATGGATGGATGGATGGATGGATGGATAAAACTGATAAATAGATAAGATATAAATAACTTTTTAGGTTTTAACTGATCTTTTTTGCCTTGCTCTAAAGACATCTCCCTCCCCCAACATGTATACCATATACCACACCTCCACCAACCCTACCAACTCTGTTGTCATGTGCACACAGGCCCAAAATACAAACACATGCACAAGCAAGACCTATACATGCATTAAATGGAGAGATGTCACAGTGAGGGGGCTGCCCATGAACAGGTGCCCTGAGCGGTTGGGGGTTTGGTGCCTTGCTCAAGGGCACCTTGGCAGTGCCCAGGAGGCAAACTGGCACCTCTCCAGCCACCAGTCCACACCAGTCCAACCTTAACCAAACCTGACCAACACATACATCACAAAAGTAGTTTCATTTCTCCAGTACTTGTAGCCTCTGCTTATGAAGGACTATTGTAATATGTTAAGCTGATAGGTGATCGTGTCATAGCTGCTTAGAATAAGAATATACAATATGCCTTTTTCACAGCAGACATTTTGGCTTGTCATAGCAGGAAAAGCACCAGGGAAATGAATACTTGCACCTATGGCTCTGTTCCATGTAGGTGTCTCAGTGAGCCGTGACAGCGAGTTAGCATGGCCAATACCAGGACCCTGGAACTGGCTCACCTAAATAGAATTCAGCCGTCATGATGTTACTAATTAAACCTGTGCTTTTTCTTGCTATGATGTGTCAAAATGTCTGCTTTGAAAAAGGCCTGTGTTTAGGCTGTTAAAATTGAAGCAGCAGCCCCTCACTGCTTTTAACGCTGCCACTGAGGATCATCGACTAACTGCAGGCTGCAGGTGAGCTAACACAGCTTTAGGCTTCCCAGGCTTCTTCCTCCCCCCCTCCCGCTTGATCTTTCTGTGTTTCTTGCTGTGCCAGAAGATATAATATTCACAAAGCAGGTAGAGTGGTGGTGAAATGTCTGCAGCGCGCGCACACACACACACACACACACACACACACACAGACACACGCTTACTTTCATTTCTCTGCCTCCTTCTCACTTGAGCGACATCTCTCTCTCTGCACTTGACCAGCCTGCCAGGAATATGATCAGAGAGAGACGCTGGACTTTGAGACTTTTAACCCCCAGCCTATGTAAAGAGGCTTATGGACAGTCATTCAGGCTCACAGATATGCACAAACACACGCAGTCTCCTTTCATTTTTGGCTACACAGATATGTGAGTGAACCCCTGCGAGACTCTGCTTTCCTTCTAACTCTTACTCACACACACACACCCAAACACACACACACACACACACACACACACACACACACACACACAGCAGAGAGGGATTTGGGGCTTGTTTTGACATGAAGTCATTGATATGCAGAGGGATTCCAGAGAAAAGCAAGCCAACATGAAGTCAGATGGACTGACATACAGACCGCTTTGTTGCCAGTTTTGTTTCCACGGCACAGTAAAAACTGGTTTAACTGTAAATGATGTCAAAATGTTTCTCGCTGTCATTTTAACAGCCAGAAACATTTCGGAGTGATCGAATAAAGGGTTTAGCCTCTTGATTTATAGTGAAGGAAGGAAATAACCTATTATTGTATTTAACCTTGACTTACCTGGTAGCTTTATCTTCTGCTTGGAAAATAGATAACAAAAAAGAGAAGGTAATGAATTATCATATTTTTAAATAGAAGCCAAAATGGCCACAAGAGAAGTTTCCACATGCATTTGATTGAGAACATGATTGCTAATAAAAAGTGTAAAAATTTTCATCATTATCCTCATGACAGAATTTTAACTGTATTCTATTAAATGGGTATGTAAATGGTTAATTCAGACCACAGCATAAGTAACCTCCTGCATATAAAATGGGATATGTCAACACATTTAGTTTAAAAGAGAAAAACAAGGCTTGCAAACTGCATTTTTTTTTTTTTTAATAAAATCTGTTCTGAAACAGCTGAAATAAGTTTCACAGCAGTTGTGAAGGAGCAGCGGAGACACAGCCACAGCCACAGAGAAACGGAACAGGTTGGAACAACAGTCAAACATGCAGAGATGAAATAATGTCTGAGCAGATCCAGACAGGAGTTGCTTTAAAGTGCAACCTGACAGGAACATTGATGAGAGCTTATAAAAGGACTGTCTCATGCTGGGTTCATTTTCCACATGTAAGGCTGCGCAGCTTAAGAGGTGTGAATGCTGAACACTGCATCTACAATCAGACACCAAACTCCGGGCTGCTCCTGTGAGGTGGTTCCACTGGTGAGCTCGAAGTTTTGAGTTATGGTTTGAATATAAAACAGTGACTGAAAAAAAACATCTGCATGCTTTTTCAGTTACATGTAACTTGATGAACTAAAGTGGAGGCCAAAACATCAAGCTGCCAGGATTAGATTTTTATGCATTTATTACCTTCTGCATCAGTTTTAACTTACTTTTAAAAGTTACCAGTCGCACACACAAATGAAACAGTTTCAGATTTGTCAGGTTAAAGGGCCAGTGTGTAGGATTTAGGGGGATAAGTTGGCAAAAATGGAATATAAAAAGTATGTTTTCATTAGTGTGTAGTCACTTGAAAATAAGAATTGTGATTTCTTTACCTTTGAATGAGCCACTTATGGTATCTACAAAGGGAGAGCGTCCTCGTCCATGGAGATTGCTACCTTGCACCGCCATGTTTCTACAGTAGTTCAGAACGGACAAACCAAACACTGGCTCCAGATAGGGCCATTCTCATTTATTCATCGGCCACTGTAGTTAGCAGCCCCTTGGTGATGGGAGCATCTGTCAAAACACAGTTTTTTTAAGGTGAAACTGCTTCATTCAGTGTTTTTACTGCTTTAAATCACCAGCTCTGTTTCTTTTGGAGAAGAGGTCTCCTCCAAGTGCTGGGCTAGCCCCGTAATTTGGCTCCCGGTAAAGACCTGAACATCTAGATCTGAAATTAGGTGAACACACATTAATTTATCAGGGAAATCTAGGTGAGTGCACATTAGCAGGCGCTGAGCTAGTGGCCCGTGCTGGAAAAGCCGAACAGCATAGCAGAAACACTGATTTGTAATGTGAAACTGCTTTATTCATGTTTTTACCAGTTTTAATCATCTACTCGATTTGTTTTGGAGGGAAAGAGACCTCTATGGCTAATTTGGTGGCCGTTGAAAACCTGAACAAAGAACGCTGAAGGAATCCCAATCGGAAGGGGTTTCAGCTGGTTGCAATTTGCAATCCTCACCACTAGATGCCACTAAATCCCCTTAAATCGTACACACTGATCCTTTAACAAATGATTTAATTATCAGAGCAGCCAAAAAACAAAACAAAACCAAAACGTGTGAATGCACTTAACAGATACGTTTCCTTCAAACATTCGTTGCAAAATTTGTCAAAATCCATGTTAGTGAGCACTTCTCTTTTTTCTACATATTGCATCCACCTGACAGGTGTGGCACATCAAGATGCTGATTAAGCAGCAACATTATTTCACAGGTGTGCCATGGGGTGGTCACAATAAAAGGCCACTCTAAAACGTGCAGTTGGATCACACAAAAATGCCAAACAAGTTTTGTGGGAGCGTGCCATTGGCATGCTGACTGCAGGAATGTCCACCAGAGCTGTTGCCCGTGAACTGAATGTCCATCTCACTACTATAAGACAACTGCAAAGTCGTTTTGGTTTATTTGGCAGTACATCCAACCAGCCTCACAACCGCAGCCCACACCAGCTCAGGACCTCCGCATCCAGTGACTTCACCTGCAAGATCGTTTAAGACCAGCCACCCAACCACAATTGGTTTGCACAACTTAAGTATTTCCACGCAAGCTGTCAGAAACTGTCTCCTGGAAGCTCATATGCATGCTCGTCATCCTCACCAGGGTCTTGACCCAACAGCAATTTGTCATCATAACTGACTAGTGCGGTTGTGAGGCCGGTTGGGTGTACTGCCAAATTCGGGGAAACATTATTAGAGATGTAATATGGTAGTGAAATGAACGTTCAGTTTACAGGCAACAGCTCTGACATTCTCAACATGCCAAATACCAAATCTACAGAGTCCATAAAAAAGTCTTAGATCTTTAACTTAAATCTGCATTGCATTTAAATTTTTGTTCAGTACATGATGAAAAGCACTTTATGATGCATCAGTCAGACATTAATAATTAGTGTTCCCGCAGGCTTTATTTTAAAAATAACTTTGTTGAAA